TACTCAGGATACAGACAGGCCATCACCAGTGAACAGTAGACAATGCCAGGACAAGGACTAACACAGAGACACAGACTTATATACAGGAAACACCAATTAGTGATGACACCTGTGAGTAATCACAGATGCCAGAGAAAGAGATAGATGATGCAGGACATGAACATGACACAAGATGGGGCTAGATACTAAAGAAACGCAAACCCTATAAAAAGAAACAGAGGATGGGGGGAACACAGACACACGGCACCAGGGACAGCACCACAACTCCTACAGGCATCTTTTGTGTCCACCTAACTGAATGACCCCCCCACCCCCACCCCCAGGCCAATGCAGGCCACTGGACACAGGGTGATGTCACACCCATGGATAAATTCCAGTAAACAGAGGACAATGTTAAGGCATCTGTGGAATCTGAGAAGTTTCTGAGCTTTGAAAGCGAGCCTCTTGGCCCTGGTGCCCTCCAGCCCCCCCAGTGGTGTGCAGCGTCCCCTCTGCTTTGTCCCCTGATGGCAAAGCTGACCAGCAGCAGCTGAAGGCTCCAGTCAGAGGACAGAGCTCTGTAATTTAATCAGAACTGTTTCCCGTCATCCCACATCTGTGCCCTGAATGTTGAACTCGCTCAGACAGCTCCTAAAATGATTCTGAACATCTGCAGCATCACTGTGTAACGATCAGCCGAATGAGCTAAAATGATCGCTCTCAACCTCAAACCCAAAGAGTCACATTTCTTTATCATTTGAAAAAAAAAATGTTGATGACTCAATAACAATGAATTCTCTAAACTGAGCCACAAGCACCTCCTTAATGAGGTGATCACCAAATCTTATTAAAAGGAGGAAATGTATAAAACTCCAGCTGTGGTCACAAGAGAAACAAATCACAGACCATGAAAGGATTTGGATGGAAAAAAAAAAAAAAAAGAACTAATAACCCCAACAAAAGAGTTGTAAGAAAGAAAAGTGATGAAGTGATGAAAAGGATGGATGCAGGTCTTCAGAGGGATGGATGAAGGAAAACCTCTGGAATGAGGCGGAGACGAACCATCAAACAGAGCCGAGCTCATTTTCTGAATAAAGTCAGAAATTAAAAAGATTCAATCAAAAATTATTGCGGCAAAAACTGAGGATCTCTCTACATTAAATGTCCAAAAATATTTCGATATTAAAAACATTTCAGGTCAAACAGTTTCCTCATGTTCTGATCAATAAATGTTTGAATAAGAGTCAGAATTATATATTTTAGGTCATTTGGAACCTTTTTGCTGCTTCAAACATTGATATCAGTCTTCAGCACTGCTGTATTATTCATAAATCCCGTGTTTAAACAGCTCAGACTCACCCTCCTGGGGGGCCGCGGACCCCCTGCTGTTGTCCAGCAGCTCATATCTGAAGCCCACCCAGCTCCTGCTCCAGCTGCCCGGACCCCGCCAGCCCTGGATGTAGATCACGGGTCTGTGCGGCCCATCCGTCCGGAAGCAGAACGCTCGGTGCCAGCCGAGCCTCCCGCCCTCCTCCTCCTCCTCCTCCTCCTCCTCCTCCCCCAGCAGCTGCAGCCGCCCGCTCCGCTCCACGAACAGCCGGGCTCCGCGGAGGGTCGGGCGCGGCTGCACGCAGACGGAACCGCTCCGGGCGGAGGACAGATTGGGCTCCAGGACCACCCGGAGAGCCGGACCCGGGTGGAGCCACGTGACTGACCCCTCCGTGCAGCGGAGCCGGACCTGCAGGACCAGCCTGGAGTCCGGGCCAGCTGCAGAACCGCTGGTTCCGAAGGAAAACATCAGTTGGGTTCACCACACAAACTTTTCTTATGTTATTAAAAAAAAAAAAAAAAAAATGGTCTCATTAGATATTATATATTGATTTTATTTTATATTGATTTTATTTTATATTGATTTTATTTTATATTGATTTTTATGCTTAAATAATAAAATCAAAATAATTCTTGTTTTAAATCTTGTTGTTCAGGTTTAAAAAAAAACAAAAAAAAAACTATTTTTAAAACGTTTTACTGATTCATAAACATGAATTCTTCTGTCCTGATAACAAAAGCAAATCTTACAAATAATATGAATAAATAACTTTTCTTCAAATCACTGAAGCTGCTCACCTCCCGGTCCAGTTGCACAGATCAGCTGCACACAGAACCAGAACCCAGACTGACACGAGGACGCGTGGAACCATCTCAGCTGCAGGGACAAGTCTGGAGGACAGCGGCTCTGAACGTCGAGTTTTACACACACGCACGCACACGCACGCGCGCCTTTTATTTCTGTGTTGCATAATATCGATTAGCTGTGGCGGCCATCTTGAATCGGATGGGCTCCAAAAATGAATCAGCTGTAGATGTTCATCCGCTGATTACTATCTGTGAGTTTCATTAAAATCCGCACACTTGATAATGAGATATTTTACTAACAGACAAACAGGGTTACCTCCAACAGTTGATGCTGCTTTAAAGCAAAGGTCTTTTTCAGTGAGTAGCAGTAAATAATCGCCATGCTGTGACAGACTCTCAGCTGCAGCTGCACCAAATTCTGCTCAAGTTTCTGTAAAACTGACCGAGCTGCAGCCATTTATGTGTTTTATAATTTGAGTCAGCTGTGGCGGCCATCTTGAATTTGAACGACTCCAAACCTCATTGAGTTGTAGAAGCTCATCCGGATATTATTTCCTGAAAGTTTCATTAACATCTGTTCTGTAGCGCATGAGATATTTTGCTAACAGACAGACAAGGCCGACTCCACAGCAGATCTGTTAGTGCTCAGATGATGTGTTTGGGTTCAGCATCGACTACTCCCGCGCCAAGTATTTACTCTGAATATCTGTAAAATGGACTGAGCTGTAGCCATTTATTTATTATTATTTAAGGTCAGGTGACTCATCCATAAACAGTTTAGCTGCGCTGTCCGGCGGTTCAGAGACAGAAGACAAATCACGGTGGTTTGGCGCCATCTAGCGGCGAATTGTTGCAGCGCAGTTTCTCCTCGCTTCTGCATCATTCCTCCTCCTGTCTGTCTGCTGTGCAGGAGGAGGAGGAACTGAAAGAAAGACCTGTAATTTTCTGAGCCGTGTTGGAATGAACTCCCAGCTTTCATCAAGGACTAATCCCGCGTTAAAAAGCCCGAGAAGTCCACCCCCCCCACCCACCTGCAGGGCTCCCACTTGGCAGGAGCTCAAGGTGGTGGCGACATCTTGTGGAGGTAAACTCATTGGACCGTGACCCTCGGCTTCCAAAGGACAAAAACTAAAAGACGCCCCCCCCCCC